AGTTAAAAAACTATGTTATTGCCTTGTCATTTTTTTATACATTGGAAAGGAAGATTAGATTAAATAATCTCGGATCATAATCACTGAAAATGCTCCTGTAATACTGCTGTAAAAAGAATATTTTTATTTCTGAAATAACAGAATAATGATATAAAAATATATTTTTCTAGCATTCATATGGCAGTTGTGTATAAGATAGTATATATATATATATAATTAAAATTTTTGGATTTTATTTGTTATTTTATTTATATATTCTAATCTGCCAATAAGTACTTTTTTCATAATTTACATTTTTTCGTTTTCTTATATATTCTTGTATAAATTTTATTCATAAATATTTTTCGAAATATTATACATATTATACATTACGAAATAAAATCATTCTATTAAATTACGTACTACCCTCTTTGCCGTCCTTCCCTTTTGTCCTGTACAGCCCTAATTTCTGACTAGGAGGAGTAGTGGTGCGTTCAACTATTTGATAACCAGCAGGCGGTGTTATGTTCAGAATATTAGCAAGATCTTTAAGTACACCCATTATATCATCGGCAGCCTGACTATTCAAAGTTAAGGTCACAGTGACATTTCCGCTTTCTCGTAAAGGAATCGGAGGGGACTTGCCAAGCCTAAAGAATTATATAATATCATAAAAAGTATTTCATATATATACATATAAATAATATATTAAAATATATTATGCACTGTGAATAAATAAAAATAAATATGCATACTTGGGCATTCCAAAATTCTCCTTGTCTTGTTTAGCTGCATCTTTTAAGTAAGCAGGCTTTAGTCTGATTGGAATTGGTGAAATCAGAGGTATAACGGGTGATACACGTTTGAGCCATTCTGCTTCTTCATCCGATTCTTCCTCAATCAATCGCAGTCCAGGAAAACGGTGCATAAATTCTGGTATAACACATTCAGGTGAGGACGAACTCACAATGGTATCAGGAGAGTCCACATCGCGATTAGTCGTCATATTCTCTTTTTTTTCATCAGCTACAAAAGAACATTTTTATGTAATGTTTTTGTATAAAAAATTTAAATATTTTATTTCTCTTATAAATGTATTAAGTTATATTTATATTATCTTTTCATTCATTATATTATTTTTACTATTTTACTAATATTATTTTTCTTCTATTCTTCCATATTCTTATTATTTCTTCTTCTTCTTTTTCTTATTTCCCATCTTTCACTTTTTTTCTTAATCTTATAAATTTTTTACAATTGAAATAATTAATAGTAAATTTGTTTATAATTTTATAATTATATCAATATTATAAAATATAAATATATTAAATGATTGCTCACTATCGTCCAACTTCAAAGGCGGAAATTCTTGATCATAAAATCCTCTCTGCGTAGTCGAGGGTTGTTGAGGTGGCAGAGGCTCTAATTCTCCAAATGGCTGTGTATTATAATGATCAGAAATTCCAGGTAAACTGGCTGATCCATAATTTCCAATCAAATCGCCAATTCTAGCGTTATAATCTTTCTGACTTCCAATCTTAACAAGATCTCCGCAACCGAAAATCGGGCACACCCCATAATTACGACTCAACTGGGGTTCCAGAACCGCCATCGGTTGAAGTTGTCGCAACTGGGTCATTAAATTATCCACAAATGTGTCATAATCCTCATCGAGGCGCGAGACTTTACGGGAACGTTTTTTCTGAGGTGCAGTTATGGCATCCTTTCCCTGGCTTTGCTTTCTCTTCTGTTGGTATTGTCTCCTCTTCAACTTCTTAAGATCTAAAGTGTTCCAGATGCCATTGTTACAATTTGTTATTAATTGGATTTAATAAAATCTTAATATTATATTTACAATCTTTGTAATATATAATTTAATTTTATGTAAGAAATGAACACGCTATATATGTAATAAAAGAAGTATATATTATACACATATCTTTCTAATATAAAATAATAGAAACATAAACATAAATAAATATAAGAAATAAAGAATAGTAATATGTTAAAATAAAGTAATATGATACATAAATGTTATTTACCAGTTTTATCATCCATTGCGCCATCTATAAGTTCCTCTTTGGTAGTGAGAAATTCTTTGGTATCCGTCTGCAACTGACTGGCTGATGTTGTGGCAACAGTGGACAAAACATCCTCAAGACCAATTTCTTTTTTAATCTCGACTAAAGGCACTGTATTGGAACCTGATGGGGTAACGGATCCCATAACGGTTTGTGGTGGAACCGCGACGGTTCCATGATTATGAGGCACTTGTTGCTGAACAGATTGTTGTTGAACGGAAGTAGTCGAAGAAGAAGGAACTTGTTGTTGTGCCACTGTTGGCTTCTGCACGACTGGAGCTTGGTTTTGAGACTGTGTTTGGACTTGAATTTGTGATCCAGATATGTTATTAGAGTTACTGGTCGCTAATTGGACGCTCTTCGAGGCTGTTCCAGAGGTTGCCATTGGTTTATTTTGCAAAGCATGTTTAGAAACAGTTACGCGTTGTTGAGTTTGAAGCCCTTCTCCGCTCATGCCAGTACTCAATTTGCTTTGACTTACAGAAGTCTCTTGCAAATTCGTAGAAATGTTCGGAGACGTTTTTGTCGTTGTTATTGATGAAGAAACTGGTTGACTTGATATAGAATTTCCCGAAGAACTTACTGAAGAAGTAGGAACTGACTTTGTTGTTTGCTGCTTCAAGTTTTCAGTTTGTGCTCTTTGTGTCGCAATCGAACTAGATAATGAAAGAGGAGGTTTCGCAGATTCCTCTTTAGTTGGTGAACTTTGAATCTTTAAGGGTGTTACCGAATGCGATAAAAAAGAAGTTTCCCTCGCAAGAACTTGTTTTGTTACTGGCTTCGGTGTTGGGGTTTCGTTTAATAACTGAGGAAGCAAAGAAGGTGGCGTAGGTAAGACTGGCCGAGCCAGTTGCGCTTCCAGTGAAGGAACTATTGGCAGACTGGGTCCTTGTGACGATCCTGAAGTCGTAGGACATGCCGTATTTTGCAATAGTTGCTTCAGCAATACATTTTGAGAATCCTCTAATCTTAAAGAATTAGAAGTACTTTTACTGGAATCTATTTCTCTCTTTTCTTGGATTTTGGATTCTTCAGGATCTTTTTTCACTGTTGTAGATTGATTTTCAAGATCGTTATTTTTATCTATTGATAGAAGACCAGAAGATTTAAATTGGTTTTGATTAGAAGTCAAAAGGGGACTTGGAGCTTGCGATAAAGTCGATTGAAGAATACTAGACGTACTTGAAACACCACTAGAAGTTGCCAAAGGTGGCACAATAGTTCTAATACATTGCATTGAGCTAGTTACGGCTGAACTAGTATTTACCAGTACTCGAGAAGGTGTAGAACATCCTGAACTGGCTTGAAGGATTGCTTGAAGATTTTGCGAGCGTTGTATTGAAGTCGATGGTAAAACAGAACTCAAAAGATTGACTGCAGATTGAGTTGGTATTGTGTTACTTCGACCATGACCAGCAATTGAAGGTTTTAAGGAAGTAGTCCCAGCCAGCATGGCATTCAACATGGCATTTGAAGTGATAGAGATCGAAGTTGCAATGTTTCTAGAAGTACCTGCAGCCGAAGAAGTACTTGAAAGATTAGAAACTGTAGTAGTCTGAAAAGTTGTTGCTGAAGAAGTCATCCTGAAGATCTGCTCGCTATTATTAACTTTTGAACCTGTAGTAATAACTCCGCTACAGTCCTTTAATTCTTTTTTCTCTTTTACAACCATTTCTGTATCTTTTAAAATATTGCTGATCAGATTAGGTTGAGAACGACCTTGATCTAATCTTGTCAAAGTCGAAACTCCACTCTGAATATTATTTGATGAATTCAATGTCGACAAGGGACTAGAGGTAGATAAAACACTTCCAGATTTCACTGAAGAAACCATGGTGACCACTCCGGTTTGATTCACTGTTGTTTGATTGCTTTGTAAAGATGATAGCAATGTTCTCAGTTGATGGGATACGTTAGCTACATTAGAAGTCAATTCTGTTGGCTTCGAAAGTGGTGATAAATGAGGAACTGTTGTTGTACTTTTTTGCAATTGTGCCACGGTACTAACTATCAAAGTGGAAGCTTGACTCGTTGCTGGAGAACTCTTTTTTACTTCAGCATTTTGACATTTTACTTCATTTTTAGGTTCAGTTGAAGAAATTTGATCATTTTCGAGATTTTCTTGCTCTAAATCCATTAAAGAGTCTTGAAGAATATTTAAGGGTAAAGTATCTAACGGAGTTGGCATTTGATAAATAATACTCGACTCGCTACTGTTTGCCATTTCCGGTTTTGATGAAATAATATTTTGTAACATATCTAAAATATCATCAGATGATTCCTCTATTAATGCCTTTTCTTCACTCAAACAATGTTGAAGAAATGGTTTGGAAGTTTCTATTTCCGTACATTGTTCTTCCTGATGATTCTTTTTATTTATGTTTTTGTCATTAGCCTCTTCAATGTTTTTTTGGATTTCTTCAGATTTATTTGTTACTTTTTGCATATCAGAATCTGAAGAAATTTGTTCTTTATCATTTTCCGTCGGTTCAGTATCATTTTCCAAAATGTTGACGAGCGATAAATCATCGGTAACAGGTGACATTCTTTTTAGAGTCGTCGTTGGAATATCATTCTTATTTTCAACATTTTCTGCAGGATTATGAATAGCTTCTAACATACTCTCCAGTTCGTCCGTAGTATTTAATGGATCAGTTTTCTTCTCTTCAATCGACTCTGAAAAAATATTTGATGATGTATTCAAGGAATTATTTTCATCTATAATTTTGTCCTGGATTTCTTTCTCTTCTTTCATTTCACCTTCTTGATTTTCTGTTAGTTTTTCTTTGCTCTTTGAGATAGTATTCTTTTTCGACAAATCTGGAATTGACATTTTCGGAGTCGAGAGCGTCACAGAAGTTGATTGTACACTTAATGCTAATTTCGTGGGATTGTTCAGAGATTCCGTATGTGGCAAACTCGAAAAAGTTGTCGAAGGCTTCTCTGAGAATAATATTTTCGGTATTTCATTAGTAGAGATAATTTTTGGGTTCAATTTATCTTGCTGAGAATTGGATATTTTCTCCAGAGCAGTTTGACTAAGTTTCGCGGCAATTTTTGCATCTGCCACAATGCTCGCCATCGTTGACAATGTAACACCTTTTTGATTGGTAGAACAACTCGAGGAAACTTCTTTTAAGTCAAAATGATCTACCATTTTAGTTTCTGTCATAATTGGTTGAATTGAAACCTGAGTCAGTTGAGAATTAGAACTAGTAGAAACTAAACTAGAAATTAAATTTGAAGAAATTGTAGTATTTATTAAAGAAACCATCGATTTTGAGACTGTTACATTAATATTAGTTGGGTATATAGTTGAAGCTGGTGTTTTGATATACGATTTATCTGAAAAGATAAAGTTTGTAGGACTCTTGTTTTGTTTTGAAGATTTGGTTTGATCATCTATCGAGCTTTCATTAAATGTATTTTCTTTAGAAACATTAGTTTGTATATTGTTATCAGTTTTTTCAATCTCTTCATCGCAAGAACCTTTAGAAAGATTGTCTTCAGGCGATTTCGTTGTGGGATCGATGATAACCACTTCAGAATCACTTACTAAAGATACCATAAGCTCTTGATCAGGAGACTGATCTAAATAAGGACCTGGAGAAGGATCAACTCGAAGTTCTTCTTGATCTGGTGATTCAGGAGTATCAGTTACAGCGACTAGCTTTTTTCCAGACTGAAAGGCCCTCACTATATCGAGTCTAAGACCCTTTTTATTTCTTGAATGAGACGGGACTAAATCTTCGTCACTCAAAATAGGTTCTTCTGATTGTGATTCAGAATTATCAATCTCTAAAATTTGCACTAAATCATGACCTTGACCAGCATCATTCACTAAAGCATGGCAAAGAGAATCGTTACTATCAGCAGAAAGATCCACCACCATTCCAGGTTCGAATAGAACATACTCTTCCTGCATATCACCTTCTAAAGTTCCTGAAATAACATCAACTAGCTCTGAGTCACCGAACTGTTCAATCACGGTGATATCATCACTGTCTCGTTGAGCTGTGGAACTCAAAGTCACTTCGGTATTAACTATAGTTTTGTCATCATCATAATCTGTCGTATCTGGAAGTTGTTCCAATTTTTCTCCAGGACTTTCTAAAGTTAAAGATCCATTATCTAAAGTTGAAGAGGTCAATGAAGAGCCTTGACCAGTTGATTTTATCTCTAAAGTTGTGGGTGAAGCTTGTGGCGGCGTATGAGAATCGTCGTCAAAGTCATTATAGTCGACACAGACTAGTGAGCTGATTCTAGTGGTTTTCCGATTCATGGAAGTATTTGCTTTCTCTTCTGTAGACTGATCTCTTTTCGCTTGGGATGTTTCCGATCCTTTACCACCTTTACTACTATCAGCTTTGCTTGACCACATTGGCGATCCTCCTCTTAAGCCCAACTTGAACCATCCAAATCGTCCAAAATTAGGGAATCGTATTGGTTTTATAGATTTATTACTATTTTCCTCATTTTTAGTAGAATTATCTGGTAAAAGAACTTGTTCTTGAGAAATTTGTTGACGAATCTGGTCCTGATCATCTGATGAGCCGCCCTTTAATCCTAATTTAAAATATCCAGTCTTCGCAAAATCAAGAAAAGGAATGGGATTTAAGGGATTATTGGAGTTTCCTCCACCTCTAGAAACATTATCTGATAAAGAAGTTTGTTCCTGAGAAACCTGTTGAGGAATTTGTTGAGAAACTTGTTGCTGATCACTTGCAGTTACAGTTAAATTAGTATTTTGTTGGACAAAATTATGAGGTGTATGAGGTGTCCTTGGAGTTCCAGGATTTTCCACACTTTGGGGTCTGTCTGGCATAGCGGGACTATTCCCAGTAGACTGTCTTCGCTGCATTTGCATAGGAGATCCAGCTACCATAGGACTTCTTGGCATCATAGGAGAGCTGGGTGGTTGAGTAGTTGTCGAAGAATGATGATGGCTACCATGAAGCATCGGTGAAATCCTGTTCATTGGACTAGGAGGTTGTGAAGTCGGATTTAATTGTTGTTGAAGCATCGGAGAACCCATCGTTGTTTGTTGCACCATAGGTGAATTTGGAGGTTGACCATAATTTTGTTGAAGTTGCTGATGAAGCTGTGGACTGGGGGAATTTGATGGCTGAGACACCATCGGCGAGTTAGGCGGTTTCTGCTGCTGTTGTTGCATTTGCAAGAATTGTCTTTGCTGTTGTTGCTGGAGAATATGCTGTCGTTGCTGAACCATTTGGAGTGATCTGGGACCAATAGAATTCTGCCCTTCTTGAGAAATACCCTGAGAAACACCTTCATGTTGTTGTTGATGAAGAATTTGTTGACGTTGCTGAGCCATTTGAAGTGATCTTTGAATAATAGAAGTCTGTCCTTCTTGAGAAATAACCTCATGTTGCTGTTGATGAAGAATCTGTTGTCGTTGAACCATTTGCAAAGGTCTTTGAGTAATAGCACTTTGTCCTTCTTGAGGAACAGATTGAGAAACACCTTCATGTTGTTGCTGTAAAATTTGTGGTCGTTGTTGGGCCAGTTGTAATGATCTTTGAGTAATAGCGCCATCTTGAGAAACATCTTCATGTTGATGCTGTTGATGAAGAATTTGCTGTTGACGCTGTTGAGCTATTTGTAAATTTCTTTGAGCAACAGTATTCTGTCCATCTTGAGAAATGCTTTCATGTTGCTGGTGCTGTTGAAGGATTTGACGCTGTGCCATTTGTATTGATCTTTGAACAACATTTTGTCCAATTTCTTGAGAAATATTCTGTGAAACACTTTCATGCTGCTGTCGTTGTTGCGCTATTTGCAAATGTCTTTGAACAGTAATATTTTGTCCATCTTGAGAAGTACCTTCCTGTTGCTGCTGTTGTTGAAGAATCTGCTGCCGTTGTTGAATCATTTGTAGCGTTCTAGGAATAGAATTTTGAGTAATTTGTTCTTCTTGAGAAATACTTTGAGAAACAATTTCATGTTGTTGTCGAAGAATTTGTTGTTGTTGCTGAAGAATTTGTTGTCGCTGCTGCACCATCTGTAAGTTTCTTTGAGCAGCAACGACATTATGACTTTCTTGAGGAATAATATCATTCTGTTGTTGCTGCTGCTGAAGAATTTGTTGACGTTGCTGCTGTGGAACTACTTGCAACGATCTTTGATTAATAGAACTCTGTCCTTCCTGAGAAACATCTTCGGTTTGTTGTTGCTGAAGAATTTGTTGTTGTTGAAGAATTTGCTGTCGTTGCTGAGTTATTTGCAACGATCTTTGAGTAACGACATTTTGTCCATCTTGAGAAATGCCTTCTTGTTGCTGCTGTTGAATAATTTGTTGTCGGGTCGTTTGTAAACTTCTTTGAACGGCAACATTCTGTCCTTCTTGAGAAATGATATCAGTCTGTTGCTGTTGAAGAATTTGTCTTTGTTGAACCATTTGTAAATTTCTTTGAGTAATAAGATTCTGTCCATCCTGAGAAATATCATTCTGTTGCTGCTGTTGAAGAATTTGTTGTCGAGGAACACCTTCATGTTGTTGTTGTTGGAAAACTTGCTGCCGCTGCAATGTCCCGCGAACAATAGTATTTTGACCTTGATCCTGAGAAACGCCTTCATGCTGTTGCTGAATAATCTGCTGCCTCTGTAACAGCTGATGCTGTTGTTGATTCAGTAACTGTTGCTGTCCTGACTGTGGATTGTAAACGATACCTCCTCTCCTCTGTGCCCCTTCTGGTGGTCTAACAAATCTCTGAGTTAAACTATGAACTCTCACACCCTGATCAGCTATCAATTGTTGATTTCGCGTCTCCGGCGTAAAAGCACCAGGAGAAGTTGCCAATCTTCCGCCAATAATGGCTCTATGTTGTGGTGAAGTCATTCGTGTAGTGTTAGGATTGCATAGACCCGGAGAAGGCATTGGCCCAGGACTGAAGGGACTTTCGTCACCTTGAGAATGAGGAGTGCCAATTCTTGGCGATTGTTGCTGAACATTATGCGGTGACATTGTACCTGGATTATTCGATTGAGGGTTGCCTGGACTATGTTGAAGCAGCGGTGTGCCTGGACTATGTTGAACAATTGATGGAGTTGCTGGTGAATGTTGAATCATACTAGGACCAGGACTCTGAGAAACCAACGCAGCTGGAGAATGCATCGGAGAATGCTGAGAAGGTGACATCAATGGAGAACAAGGTTCATTTGGTTGGGGTTGAGTTTGTCGTTGTTGTTGTTGTTTGTTATGATACTCCTGAACCAATACGCTGTGTTGACGCTGTTGCTTACGAGAAGTTTCTAAATGTTTCTGAAGAACAGCTTGCTCAGAAGAAATCCGTTGTAGTTCAGCAGCATCGGTTTCTGTCAGTTCGTTACCAGATTTACGAAGCTGACGTTGCTTACTATTGAGAGACTGGAGGGAAATAAGATAGAGAAACGTGAAAAATATGAAAATGTAGGACAAACTAAAATTTAGGAATTAATATTAAAATTAAAATCTATTAATATATACTGTAAAGATAATTTAGTAAACAATACTATGATATTTAGATAATTTTAATTAATATAATACTAATTTATTTTTATTTACCTTTCTTATTTTCCGAAGTTTTTGGACCTCTGCCTCATAATATTTTAATTGTTGCGTTAATATTTGATGCTGATTATTAAGCCATTGCTCATAATTCGCATGAATTTGCCGATCTTGCTCATTAGCTATATTTTCTGGTGGAGTTGGTGGTGCCGGTTTTTGAGGAATGTTAAACATAGCCACTCTTGCTAAAAATTAATGCAAATATAACCATATATAATAAATTGAATTATTTTATAGATTTAAAATAATATATATCTAAAAAATATATGTCTTCATTAAATGTATCTTTTTTTTTCGTTAGAAATTAAATTATTAATAATTTAAAATATTAAAATATCATTAACTCTAAATGTAAGTCGAACAAATTACAAAATTTTTCTTATTTAAATAAGATTTATCATTGAGAACAAATTCAACAAAATTCTGATAAATTTTAATAAAAAGTAATAAACACTAAATATAACTTATTTTGTAACTTAATTTACTTTTTATCATAATAAACTAAGGGGGCATATACCTTTTTCGACTTGAAAAATAGTTCATTTTCATTAATTTTTTTTTTCTAAGAAAGAAAAGGCATATTAGGATCGGGTTTTTTTTAATATTAAAGAACATACTTTAGACTTGTAAAATCAATTTTTATCAAAGTAAAATAACCCCCCCTTTACCCCCTGCAGTTGTTCGAAATTGGCCATATTCGACGGACTTAAATCGCAGTACCATGGATTGATCCTTGGTCGCTCATCTGAAATAAAAAATCAACATTGCATCTTAAAGTTCATTAAATTTACCGGTATTTGATCGACGCTTTTTTAAATTTCGAATTTAAAACAAAATGGCTGACATTCAAACTTAAAGTATCATTTTTCACGTATAAATTTCATTTAAGCGTGTAAAAAAATATAAAAAATTAAAATATCAAAAAAATCATGGATCAAATACTAGAGAATTTTATAAGCTTTCAAACAAAAGAAACGGGGATGGAATCGGTTGAGTAGTTATTGAGATATTTATGATACCGACTTTAAAAACGTGATTTCGAAAAAAACGTGTTTAAAGTTTCTGAACAAGTTTACAATATAATAAAGGGAATTTTTTGCGACTTACATATAATCACCTATTCCGGGGCCATACAGGGAATCCTCCTGGGAAAAGTGCTCGTCGTCTTTTTGGATTTTGCTCAGCCGACTGCTGATACTAGCCTCCCGCGTCGCGTGCTGTATTCGGATGTCTGCTTGGTCGCAGTGCCGAGTATCTATTAATGCAGCGAATTGTGCTGCGTTTCGTTCAACAGTTATTCCCATCGTATTCATCGCTCGCAGAAGGGCCGACAAACCTTCGTTGAACAAGCAAACTGCGAGGAAAATCGCAATTTCTACGATTTTTGCGCTGCTGTTGATGTGTTTGTGAGCCATTTTCCAGATCAAATTATTAAAACTTTCGTTGGTGTTTTGCGTATATCCACCGAGACAGCGTTTTAATAATGACAGCGTTTTAATAAGGTTTATAGGGCGAATCGCATCTAAAACCTCATCTAGTAAAGTATTATAATTTTGCTCGTACCTGTCCAACGATCCGTTCACTTTTGCTCGTTGCCACTCGCACCATGAATCTGAGACTTGAGGACAAAGATGATATTGCGGTTTGTCTTTTGTCGAACTGTAATGATAAAAAGTGATCCACACCGCACCTCGCATTCTTTCCACTGAGTGGAAATTTCGCCGAATAGCTAAACCATAATACACCGAGTTTGTCTATCATTTTCGCAGTTAACTTATTTTTTCCTCCAATGTCCTTGTGATCTTTTTTGCACTTTCGGAGTCGAGCACTCATGCGTTGCTGGACGTGTTCAATGCATTTTTTTTTCTATTTCAACAGTGTCTCCATATGATTGAGATTCAACGATACCTTTGTACGTCTTCGAATCGTCGTCACCAATGTAATGCGTATACTTTACTCTGTACTATTCCTATGATCGATGAAACATTTCTTTAATAGAGTCGACCTCCATTTTTCCAGCTAAACCTTCATGATTTAATTGACATTTACTTTGGTGTTCGATTTCCCACTCACAATACTGTTCAATGCCTTTCTTTTTGGCCCAAACCTCGCATTCTTTGCAGTATCGAGATTTCACGTTTACGTCGACAACTTTCTTCGAATGCATCCCAATGAGACTGCACCCGTTATACAGGGAAAAAAACCCGTGCTTTTGCCAAGTCCTGTCTCCTAAAACACCTAAATCTGTAGCGTTTTCAACCTCTTATTCTAAACTCGTCCTCAGCTGTTCCTCTTGTACCGCGTCTTTCATGAGTAATTCCGCGATTGTCTTAGATGCTATATGAATTTGTTATAAATTTTTATTGTTATAAATTTCATCGTGCAATTTTTGAGCGACAGAAGGAGGCAGATCCATTAACCCACAAAATTTTTTCTCAGCAAGTGTTCCTTGTCCTAAGCAACGCATTGCAAAACTGAATCGTTGGTTGATTTCGTCAACCAGCGATAACTCAATTTTCGGACAAGAAGAAATGTATGTTGGTCTGCACTCATCACAAATAATCACAATTGTAAAGCCAATCCCGCGAGTGCTTTCTGTATGGAATTTCACGTCACCTCGCACGTTTTACATTTTACAACTTGCGAAATTTCATTAAAAACAGAATTGAAGTTTAGAATTCGGTAATTTATAGTGTCACTCTTCGCGGCACGAGCACATCAGACACCGACACCGACTTTAATTTCTTCTTAGCAGCATTAATGGTTGTCTCGGTTTCGCTTTCAAAAACCCATCTATTTGGTGGCTTTGGACGTTTTAGCGTCCAATCCCAGATAACCAAGCGAGATTTAGCATAAATTGATGCACTGCATGTATTGTTTTTAACTTGTTGACAATTTGCTGTCATTGGAATATAATGTGAAATTGAGTTAGCATCAGGAGAGTAAATCGACTTCATGAGTTTATGAAATTGTAAGAGTATACATTGAGAATAAACTTGATAAATAAATTTGATAATAAACTCGTCATGTTGACTGCAAACTGATGGTACGCTTACGTCTTACTGCACGCATGATGACAACTTGCCAGCAGTTTGCTGAATTTTAAGGAAGACTTTACGTGATGTCAGAACGACAGTTTGTAGAAACACCTTGGCTTTAGTTTGATGAAATTGAATGCGGAATAAGTGCCAGCAAAATCCCAGATAGCCAAATGGCAACATATTGCCCTTATTTGGCTATCTGGGATTTTTGCGAAATGCACCGCTTTGTTTCGATTCCCGACTACTTTTTGCTGCACTCATTATAACACGTGCGTTCAACAAAACATATGTCAAAGAACTGAATATATAACCTAAAAATGACTCAGAAAAACACTCTAAACATCATCTGTTGAAAAAATTATGTACCTACTATACAAAGACGAAGTTTTATTTGAATTACTATGAAGGGCTCAGTTGTATAACGGCTCGACGCTACTACCCTGCGCTGCGCGCTCCTCCATAATGGCTTATGAGAGGAGACGGCGGTCAGTATAAAGTGCTGTAACTTCGTCAATTTTTAGAATTTCTTCAAACGGCTTCGGCTATACGTTCTTGAAATGTTAATCTTTCAAAATATATAATATAAAAAAATCGATTTTTTGAAGCTGAGAAAGGTATATGCCCCCTTAATTGACATTCAACCATTAAATAACTATCCAACAAAATAATTAATAGAAGACTACTAACGTTCGGGTGGAGTCTGTGTGGCAATTGGTTGTCTCGATCCCACTTGCGCCGCTGCTAGCTTTAGCGCCCCATCAGTAGCTATGCCACTTTGCTGCCAGTTAGTGTTAGATGTGGAAGGTGATCTCGCTGTACAAGGTGGTCTTATCACAGGCACCATACCCTGAGGAGGTGACGTAGTACCCAAAACATCAGCTTTGAATTTTTCAAAATCACTGTCGCTCAAAAGACTTCCTCCAGTGACATTTTCGGTCTGTTGTTGTTGTTGTTGTTGTTGTTGTTGTTGTTGTTGTTGTTGTTGCTGCTGCTGCTGCTGCTGCTGTTGCTGCTGTTTTTCTTGTTCTCGTTTCTCCTGCTCTAACAGCTCCTCCAGCAATAATGGCTGCTCCTGTGAACACGACTGCTGACAGTCAAGGTCGATTTTTGATACCAGGAGTGCTACTCGAAGGTCTAAAGGCTAAAATTTCTATTGCATTAGGACTGAATATTAAATTGTAAAGTTAACTAAAATTACAGCTATTACGTATGTAAATAGTTCAAATAAAGTTTGTACATAAAAAAATAAACGTAGATAAAATGTGTGGATAAACATTATTGCAAATTAATTTGAATTTATATATTTCCAATAATATTTTATTTTATCTTTATAAATATATATATAAATAACAAAAGAATTCAGTCTACTATGAATTAATACTACACAAACATGCAAACAATTTCAACATTGATGCGTTGATTATAAAAAAGCATTATTCTAAAAAGCATCATGTTGCTTCAAGGAAGAATTAAGCAAAATTTAGTAAAAACAGATTTTGTCAATGTTAGTAAAATTAATTTCGTGCAGAATGGATGCAAACATTTAAGAGAGCATAAAATTTATAATAGACTAAATATAGAAAAGGAGTGTAAAAAGATATAAAAAGTAACTTTTTTATTTTTATAATAGGCAATGAAATATTAAAGTTCGATATAAAAATTAAATTCTTTTTAATTAAATTTATGATCAATTTAACTTTTACATATTTAATTTTATTAATATATGTTACATTTTATAATAAATAAATTAATAAAGCAAATAAATAATTTTCTATATTAATTATTTTATCTAGAATATATAATATATATAAGATAGATTTTTTAATTACATTCTAAAAAAATATTAAAAGGGAAAAATTTTTCGGAAGTTAAACACAAAATGAAAATTTATATTTCAATTTATTTCTTCTTGTAATGTTAGAATGCCCCAAATCTCGCTCACCTGCAGAAGCAAAGGTCTTCGGTGAGGGTGCGGCACTACAGGTCCCATTGGCGGACCCGCCACCGGTACCTGGTGCCCCGTCATATGAACCGAGGGCCGCGTCATACTTCGCCCACCACCACCACCACCACCCGGGCACAGTCCCATCTAGACATGCACCAACACCAAATGCATATTGCAAACTTGCACACCCAGGCCAAAAACACTAGCCAATTTTCTTACCACTGCCATTACTATTTTCATTGCCATTTAAACATCTTCCAGATTTATACTATTTTATGTAAACATATAATTAAAATATGACAAGAATAATAAAACAAAATTTTCATTAAATTAAATAAGTAATAAAGAAAGTATTTTAGAAGGGCTACGAGCCAATGAACAATTTCTTAATATATGTTTATTTTAATATGTTTATTTAAAATGTTAAAATAAACATATATTAAAAAATCGTTCATTAGCTCGTAGCCCTTTTAAAATACTTTCTTTATTTTGAATTTGTTAAGCCATATTATCTACTGTTAATTTTAAATAAACAAGAAAAAAATTCTTATCACAATTTTAAATGTATCTCAAAAATAGTTTTTAAAACTTTAAGTTAATATAACTTCTAACTATTTCAAATTATATCTCTCTATATAATTTGTAATTTTTATATAAAAATTATAATTGTAAAAAAAAATAAAAGAAGAGATTAAAATTAAAAATACATCTGACTAATAAAATATTAAATTCAATATATGTTAGCAATTATTTATAATGTCTACCGAAACAGAAAATGTTTTGGCACTGAAAGTGTAAGATCTATTATTTAGCTACACCTACAATCACAGCAATTTTTTAGTTTAGTTTCGCTTTCTGATTAAATTATTCTAATTAAAGCATGATTTTATTATAAATTTGTTATCGTTTGTCTAATATAAACTAGTAAAATATATTAATTAAATTATATATTTAAGCTTTGTTTTTGTATTTTAACTAAATAATTTTCTCATGATTTATTAGTATAATATTATTAAAAATTATTTTATAAAACATACACTCTTATACATTTAAAAAAAACTTTCATATAAATATATACTTTAAATAAAACTTTTATATGAGAAATATTATTTAACATATATTTCTAAAAATATATCCTATTATTTTTAAGTGGCAGCTTAGCAAAATATGAAAAATTATTTCTATTTGATACTGCACACAGCCGCACAAAATATTTTTTAAATAAACTTAGCAGTATGCGAAACTGACTGGCACATATATTATACATGCAATCTCATGAAACGTTTTATTAATTATATGTTATAAAACGTTAACAAACCGTGTTATGTAATTAATTATTATCAATAAAGTTTTATGTGAATTATTAATATAGTCCCGCATTGGAGTTATCATCATTTTGTTTATCCTATTCACAAATTTTTTGTGAATTTCCTTATAAATCTTTATTTTTTCTATTAGAGTATTACATATGTGTACGTGTACGCATACGTGTGCGTGCGTGTGTGAGCGCGCGCGCGTGCGTGTGTATGTGGTGTACGCGCGTGCGCATATTTACATGTAATTATCTTATACGGATAGTATTAGATTATCGTACAAAAATTTAACAAAAGCATGTTTTACATTTTAATTCATTAATTATGCTCTTCAATCCCTTAACTTTAATGCGATTAATTTGATTTTCTCGCAATTACAAAAACAAATATCAAAGCGATGCATAAATTTCCAAAAAGATTAATTAATATAAACATCGACACTTACCTGTATCGGTCCAGGATATGGCGGTGGTGGTCCTGGGTAAGGGGGTGGTGGTGGCGGTGGTGGTGGTGGCGGAGCCAATGGCATCCGTGGACCAATCATATGATTTACAGCAACCACTCTGCCAGCCATATTTGGCACTCCTGCGGCTACTCGCATACCCAGCCGTTGCTGTTGTGAGACTATAATAAAAATAAATGTCATAGATATTAAATATCAAAATTAAAGATTTGTATAAAATATAACATATTATACAAAATAATATCTATTATTTTATATAATTATTTTATACATCATATTAAAGATAGGATTACTATAGCTGTCACTGTGATTTGAGATTTTTCTAAAATATAATTTTTTTATAGAATAATCTAACATTTAAGCTCCAAAAGAAACAAATAAAATATTATGTTATAAATAATTTTTTTTACTTTACCTTGTATATGTGCTTGCGAAAGTCTCTGCGGGTGCCCGGGAAAATTCGATGGATAGCTCACAGTTACCGTATTTGTGGAAGTCACCACTCCAATTGCTCCATCTGGTGAAAGCAACCTTGTACCGGGAAGTATTGGCCGGCCCATTGCTGCCGCTTGTTGTACTTGCTGATGCATCTGTTGCTGCACTACTTGCGCCTGCATTGCCTGCGATGTCGTCTGCGATGTCGCCTGCGGTGAAGTTATTGTCGACACATTGGAATTTTCTGTCAGAGTCAAACTCGTGCTCGTCGAGCAGGAGTCAGTAATATCAGAGGTTGGACCAGTCAATTCTGGTTTCTGATCTTCGTCCCTAGTTTCCTTTTTTTGCTTATCATCTTTGGGATCAACTTCAACTTGCTCGAGATCAAGATCAAGAATATTAGTCTTCTCCCCACCTGCGATCGTGTCCAATTCAGGGTCCGCATATTCCAGAATGTTGAAGTCCGCTCCCATTTCAGCTTCAAGAATAATAAATTCTTAATTTAAAATTTGTGTGTGTGTGTGTGTGTGTATTAATTTGTATAAGAAACTTGTTTCCAACTTTCTTCAAAATTTGTGTGTGTGTGTATGTGTGTGTGTGCGCGTGCGTGCGCGCGCGCGCGCGAGTAAAATCCGCATAATGTGCAGGTCAACATTACCTGGACCATATCAACATGATTGAGTTGTGCAATGCTGACATTGTAAAGCAGGCAACTTTTTGCCCGTAATATATATGTATATATATTTTTACATATATATATATATATATATATAATACATATAAATCAATTTAAAAAATAGAGTGAATTGTTTTCTCATATATATATGATAATTTTGTTTAATTCTAAATTTTGAAATTCAAATTCCTTCATACTACATAATTTTATTATGCAATACACAAAAAGAGATTTACCAAGCAGTTCGTCATCATCATCTGCCAGATCTCCCAATATTGCACTGACTCCTTCAACTTCAACCATTGGACCGGCTCCTTCCTGCTCCAGCTTTTCCAATTCAGCTGTTACATTGTCGGGGATCTCAGATGCTTCTGAAGTAACCACTCCCACGGTCTCGCTTATCGTCGTGGGAACGAGTGGTGCTCGCACCAGTCCTGGAGTTGTGTTCAACATACGAATACCTTGATTTAAATTGTCCTGTGCTGTCCGTGCAACACGCTGACTCTGCGTCTGATTCACGTCTAAAAGAGGTTTTTTATTTTGTTAAAATCTTTGTAAATTCAATTTTTTATGGTTGTGTAACATCAGAACTTTCTAACATTTTAAATTATAATTTATATAAAAGGCTATGAAAAAGGATGAAAATTTAAATAATAGAATATAAATGTTCACGCATATTTAAATTTTTTGGAGATAATATCAAGCAATTGCGATATCGGTCTGCAATTAGGACATACATTAGTAATTCTTTTCCACTACTAATCTTTACAATACGACAATTGAAAACGATTAAACACTAGTAATACCTTGTTTTTTAATTTATTAAATTTTTAGAATATAGAAAAAAGTAAATTTTGTGAAATCATTACTTTCATCTTTTTAAAAACAAATAACTTTTGTCTGAATTATTTCTTTCAAAAATATATTGCTTTCGAAATACCGTTTTATGTAAAAAATTTTTTTTTTAATTTACCTGTAAATCTCTGTTGTTGCAAAATATCATAAGATTCGGAAATGGCATTTCTCGTTGCTGGCATCCGTATTTGGAGGTTTTGAGTTGCTTGGAAATGCTGTTGAGCAGGTACATTAGTAGCTACTGGGGGTCTATTCTGCAGTAATGTCCTAGTACGATGATCAATCGGATTCTGAATATTTCCTGCTACAGGGTGTCGCGAGTTTATTCCTGAATTCATATATCATACACAGAAATTTTATATAAAAATTAAAGATTTTACATAAAAGAAAAAAGTTAATATAATAAATTAATTTTATTTGATTAAGAATATTTAAGTATTAGAGAGAATGTTTCAACAATTATTATAATTTATGCAGGTATTTGTATAGTTAAATACTATATAACATAAGATTTGTTACACAGGCTGTCCCAAAACTGACGTTAAATATTTTATAGACAGATTCTTTGTAATATATTTTAAGACAAAAAGTTTAATACAAAAATATCAAGGGTATGAGTTTTTAAATGAGAAGAGTTCAAAAATTACGAATAATGAGGCTAGAATTTTGCGTACTCAAGAAAATTAATATAAAAATTAATATTTATACATTGAAAATTAATAAATAGAAATATTACATGCGTACCAATGGAATTTCTTATCAAGACATTCGGTTGAATAGGCATTCTGGGCCTAACAATGCCTGGCGGAAGTGGATGTCTAAAAGTGCCTTCACTAGAATTGTTTTGTACTTGAGAGTGTTGCTGCTGAAGCTGCACATGACTGGCTTCAAATTGTTGCTGATTGCTCTCCGTATTATTTTGTCCATCTGAATTATGAATATAATTGAAAAAGTGCGAAAATATAATTTTAATTGTATTTTAATTCATTTATATTTCAGCAAATACGTAATACTTGATATAAAATAATCATATTCATTATTTAGAAATTACAGAATAAAACAAACCTTGAACCCAATTAGCACCTACTCCTTCAATTTTCTTACTAAATTGTTGTCTTTGCAGTAAGTCCCTCAGTTGCCTATTGACTTCCGGTTGCTGTACAAAAGCCACTTCTTGTTCCTGAGACGTTCGAGGAGTTTCAGAACCCCTAGGTGATGGATAGCTAGATGCGGCAGGAGCGGATGTAGAAGTGACAGGTGGCTGGCTGTAAGGATCAGGAGTTCGCGATGTTGCAGGTGGAGGAGGAGGAGGAGG